GGCTACCTTGTGAAATACTAGTAAGTATAGACCTAAATACTTCAATACTATTATCAAAAGCTAGTCGTAATACTCGGTCGTCTAGGAATGACGATACTTATAGAATAAGGCTAGTAGGTAGTAATAAACTAATCATAATCTATAATAGCCTATTCTTGGACACGTGATTAAAGGCGCCTTTAATATCTAGGAAGAAAGTACTAGTTTTCAGCTTATAGGACTTATTTAATTCTACTTTATTTTGTAATAGTAAAGCAGTATTAATAGCTGACTTGTGGAGCCTACCTCCCATTTGGGAGTAGTGCAGTAGGTCACTAGTCTCGGCTAAATAGCTAAGTCGCCTAGCTAGTATTCTCTCAGAAACCTTCCCTAAGCAATTAAGTAGGGAAATAACTCAATATGCTTTGGGTAGGGAATAGTTTGGTTTCCCTGATTTCTTTAGAATAAAGCCAGTAGCTTGTTTCCAGACTTTAGGGTAGTATCCCTTATTAATAAATAAGGAGTATAGCCTATAAAAGATATCTGGAGAAGCTCTATAAGCATGAACTATAATCTCTTGAGTAACTAAGTCTGGTCCAGGGGTTTTCCCCTTTATCTTAGAAGTACAGGCTTGTTCTAGCTCTATTTTAGACAAAATAGGCTAGTTCCACTTTGAGCTAGACCTATAGTTTATTAAACTAGTAGGCTTAGTAATAGGGGGTAGTGGGAAAAGCATAGTTCTAAAGATATTACACTTCTCTTGGAAAGTCGATTTTAGCTTATTTGAACTATTATCTAAGATACTAGGAATAGGTTAATATATAGTATCTTTAGTATATTTCATAGCTTTAAAAATCGACTGGGGGTCTTTATTCTCTAAGAACTTATTCTAGTGCGCTAGCTTAGTGCTCTTAATAGCATTAAAATAGGTGTTTTTTGCATTTTGGAGTTCTTATTTATAGAGAGTATACCCTGAAGCTTTAGACTTACGGCTATAGTATAGCATTGATTTACGTAAGGTCTTTAAGTCCTCATTTCACCAGGGTTTAGAATACGGACTAGTAGTAGATTTTGGAATACTATTACTAGCTGCTTCCACTATTCTATTAGTAAAGTCTTCTGCTAATAGATCTAGTTCATGGTTTCCAGGTATACTAGTAAGTGGAAAGGGCATATTCTCAAGGCTATTAATAAGGTAGCTTGTAAATTTAGCCCAGTCCGCTTTCTTAGTATTAAATCTGACTGGATTAGAACTAGAGCTATAAGTCGACTTACACACCCTTATCATTGATTCTAATTTCTGATTTCGTTCACGATGGTCCCTGAATGCCAAGGATTAATGAAGCCCCAAGAAAATGATAAT